ACAAATTCAGTTTAAAACAAACAAGAAAACCTAGGCAGTGGGAGCATAAATTTGGGTCATATATTAATTGGCCCATGTAGTTATATTTGCACATATAGTTGTGCCGAGTAGGGTGTCTTCCACAGAGCAGGCACTCATTAATATTTGCTCAATAACTCCACCCTTAAATGACGATTACTGTGGAAGGGTTGTGATTCAGATCAGAGGGGGCCGAGATAGTGAATCCAGACTCAGATAGAAAGTTAAAAGACTGCTTGCCTTCAAATTTTACTTCAGTATTTATTTTTAAGAATCATCTTGTTCTCTGAGTTGTCAAAGAAGCAATCATAGGTTCCTGAGGTCCTAGAGCCAGAGCTGGAAGGGAATGCCAGAGGCCACTACAGTATGGCTGCATACTCAAGGCTGGTTATAATCATGGCAGGTACATGTCAGACTGAGGGAGAAAATCAACTTGGTACATTGAAATGTGGAAAATTTTAAATCAATGATTCCAAGCATTATCCAACATAGCCCCAACTGCAAAATGCTTATTGTTACCAACCCAGGGGACACTTTGATTTACGTTGCCTGCAAGTTAAGTAGTTTTAACACATGCCATATCATTGGAACTGGTTTCAATCTGGACACTGCCTGTTTTCTTTGCCTAATTAAGGAGTAGCTGGGTATCCACTCTAAAATGCACCCCTCGCATCTGCCTTCAAAAGGACAAAAATAGTCCATAGCTGTCTATAGTCAAAGAACATTAGTAGCTACATCTGAACAGTACCCTATCCTGATAAATGTTCACATACTCCCTGGTTGCTCAGTTAATAAGCATATCCAGATGGCACTCACTAGTATCTGCAGCACTCTCAGGCAAAAAAAAAAATGCTACAAAAACTCAAACTGTAAAAAGCTGGTAGAAGCTTTCTGTAAAAGGCTTGGCCACAACAAACCTTCTGCTGGACCTCCCATTTGCCTTTAAAGATTACCTCTATCCCATAACTAAGGCAACAGTATTTCCCCTGCTTCCTATACTATAGTTGAAGTGGTCTTAGGCTGTCTAAGGAGAGGCGTAATGTCCAGAATGAGGGAAGCCATAGTTCATAGTTTTGGCTGAACCAACCAAAAATGGGATGATAGATACAAGTCTATGTGCCATGCTACTCTACTGGAAATTATCCAAAGGAAGGTGACCCAGGATGGTGGGAAATTAGAGACTATACTATATGGCAATCAGCCGAAGGTATTGGAAATGTTTAATCTGAAGAATAGAACACTTGGGGTATGGGCAGGGGATACTGTCTTCAAGGAAATTTCTGTCTTCAAGTATTTGAAGGACTGTCAAGTGGAAGAAGGATTGGATTTCTTATTCTTTGCCCCAGAAGGCAAAACTAGCAGTAATGGGAAGAAGTTAGAGAGGGAAATTACAGTTCAACATAAGGAAAAACTTCCTAAAAATTAGAGCTATCCTTTAGGGAACTGATGTATAGGCCTAGTAGTGATACAACTGAGTCAAAGGGGACGCAAAGTTTACCAACAGTGACTTTTTGGACATAGTTCTGTCAAAGAGGACTTGAAACCATTGCCATTTAACCCTTGAGTTAAGGAGAATACTTTCTGAATGAATAAATCCATCAAACTTGAGTGTGAATAGAGCCTCTTTACCTCCTTGGATCAATGAAAGCCATCATAGAAGAGACTAGATCACACTGTAAGCAATTTTTATAAGAGGAGATGCTATTTCAGAACTGGAGAGAAGTTGGATCAAATAGAACAATGAGCTGTTGCAGAGAAGGAAGATTCTGAGGACAGTCATTGTCTCCATAGGCATCTCAGGGAGAAGGACTCAAGCAAAAGGAAATCCCAAGAACATTCATTCATTTATTTCCCCTCTTGATGCCTATCCATCGACACTAAAATATAATATGACCTGTTGTTTCATTACCCACATGTTTCCACTAAATTGAATTTCGCCTCAACCAAAAGGAAGACAGGGGTTAATTAAAACAGATATAACCATATGATTAGGCAGAGTGTTCAACCTTTGAGTAAGTGTTAGGAATTTTCCTAACTGGGGGCTCAGGGCAATTATGACTGAACTATGAACTTTTCATATAAAATAAATTCCATAAAGCCAAAGAGAAAGGAACCAAGTGGACTTTAGGGCCAATGTATTTTCTCATAGGCTTAAAATGAGCTAATTATTTTAACAGGCTTTTACAGTTCCAAATTGTTTTCCAGAATGGTTGTACCAATCCACAGGTCCATCAGCAACACATTGATATGCCTGTTTTCCCACTATGTTAGCCACTTCCTGACTGAGAAGTGAATGATTCAAGATGAGAATGAGACCTACATTTTTTGGGCATGGCCAATGCATGAATTGATTTTGCTTGACTACAAATATTTGCTAGAAGGATTTTTGTTTTTTCTTTTTTCTTTTCAATTGAGGCATGAGAGGGAGAGAAAATAAATGCCTTTTAGTTGAAAAATAAAATAAAATAAAATTTAAGAACAACCCAAAGGGGACTGGGTACCCTCAAGTGTTAATAGGCTTTCTATTATTGAAGATCTTAAAGTAGAGAACAGATATATACTTACTGGGGATATTGTTTTGTTTTGTTTTTTGGCTAGGTAATGGAGTTAAGTGACTTGCCCAGGGTCACACAGCTAGTAAGTGTTATGTGTCTGAGGCTGGAACTGAACTCACGTCCTCCTGAATCCAGGGGGCACTAGCTGTGGCACCTACTTGCCCCTACTGGGGATATTGTAGAGGGAATTCCTGTCTGGATACAGTTTGGACTAGATGTCCCAAGTGAAGTCCCTTCCAATTCTGAGACTATATAACCCAGGGTTGGGAACCTGTGGCCTTAAGGCCATATGTGGCTTTCTAGGTCCTTAAGTGTGGTTTTTATTTGTTCTGTAAAATTTGGATTCAGTCAAAAGTCCATACTTAAGGACCTAGAAGGGCACAGGTTCCCCACTCCTAATATAACCTTTTCTTCTTCACATCTTCCCTGGACAATCGTTTCAAACTGAGGTAACTAGGAGACACAGTGGATGTAATAAAGGAGTTGGAGTCAAGATGATCTGAGTTCAAATCCTGCCTCGGACACTAATCAGCTGTATGACCCTAGACGAGTCATTTAATCTCTCTCAGCCTCAGTTGGCTTATCTGATAGTAATAGCAACTAGTTGTGGTGCTTATCAAATGGGATAATACATGTAAAGCCCTTTGAAAACCTTAAAGTGCTATATAAATGGTAACTATTGTTATTGATCTGATTTTTCCTTTGGGAAGATGGGAGCAGAGCATATACTGTCATTTTCCCCAGGCCTGTCCCTATTTCTCTTTCCTGTACTTCTCCTGGGAAAGGCCTTGCTTTAATTTTAAAAATTCTTCATTTTCACTAACATTTAACAATCATTTTCAAACATAAACATTTCAATATACAAAGAAAAATAAGAAAGAAGATTATGCAAAAAAACCCAAACAAACCCATGTTGTTGTTCTGCTTACAAAAACAGTTCACAGTTCTGAGAGAAAATGAGCCCCAAAGACATTTAATGACTTGCTTGGCATTTTTTTTTGTAGTAACAAAAAACTAGAAACAAAGTAGGTACCCACTGATTGGAGGCATGTCTAAACAAATTATTGTACAAGCATGTATTTGAATATTACTGAACCACAAGATACAATGAATACAAAAAATTCAGAGAAACATTGGATGACATATATGAACTGATGGAGAGTCAGGAAAACAATATGCCTAAGGGTTGCAATATTATAAACAGAAAGAACAATAAAGGAAAACTGAACTCTGTAATTTTAATGACCAAGCTTGACTTGGAGAAGAGTTGATCAAATGCACCTCCTTCCTTTCTTTAGAGAGGCCTGTGGAATATCGTGTATACTGTCAGTTGGGGTTGATCTATTTTTGATTTTTTCAAAGGACCTGGATTCATACTTCACTGAAAAAAAAAATAAGGCCATCTGTTGTGACCTACCTTTTCTTCCCCAATTCTATACTTCAAATCACTCGGTTTCACTCCAGGCAGTGATTAAATACCACTTTCTTTCCAGTTTCTTGGAATGTTCATCTCCCTTGCTCCCATCTCAGTATTCATTATGTGTGTTCACTATATTTATCAGCGACCATGTTGTATCCCCTAGATAGAATGTAAGTTCACAGAGACAGTGAGGTGGGGTGCACTTACAAGCTGTATGACCCTAGGCAGGACATTTAACCCCTATCTGCCTCAGCTTCCCCAGAAGGTATAACATGAGGATAGCTCCCAGGGTTGTTGCCAGGATTAACTGAGACAATATTTGTAACTCTCTTAGTACAGAGTCTGAAACAGAGTAAGTACATAGTAACAAGTGTTTCCTCTTTCTCTGAGGACAAAGACTTTCTCATTTTTATATTCACATCCCCAGCACCTATAGCCCAAGGCTTTGGTTTCTAAGGCAATGTTCTGGTCACTATATGGCACCTCCCTCGGTGCACCGGAATGTCCATATCTTCTTACCAGTTTATTAATGAATAGCTAGAGAATAATGGGTAACATTAGTGTTTCCTTTTAAAATCTACCTGTGAAATAGGGATAGAATTGACTCACCTTCCCCCAAGCAGGCTGCAAATAGCAAGCAAAAGTTAAATAGATAGCAAATGTGTACGGTGTAGTAATCGAACAATTAAGGACTCTGTGGAACGTAAATAAGTCCATTTCATAATAAATTTCCAAAGGCTTATATTACCTAGGTTCTGATTCTGATTATTTAGCTGTGTGACCATATGCAAGTCAACTAACCTGTCAGCCTCAGTTTCTTCGTTTATAAAATGGGAATAGTAACAGCACCTACTTCGCAGAGTTGTGGGGCCCAAATGAGATAATATATGTAAAGTACTTAGCAACGTATAAACCACCATATATTTTAGTTACTAATAATGATTGTTGTTATTTCCTTCCTCCTAAGCTAGACCATTGATGTATATGCCTTTGTCTCTTGATTTTACCTGCAGCAGCTAGATGGCAGAACATTCTCTCGCTCCACAGAGGGGCACATCGGCTCTCAGGACCAGTAGAGCAAGGTGGAGACTGTTTCATCCAAAATGCCTCACCAGGGCCTCCTTCACTTCCTGTTTCACCTGCTCCTGGCTCAGGCTGCTGTGGGGATAGCCTGGCGTGTCTAATACTTGAATCTGCAGAGTCATTTCTTGCCCATCACGCCTCATGAAGTGGGCAATTTGGCAGCTTCGGCCCAGGCTGCAGTCTTTGGTCACAGAATATGGAGCCAAACAGCTGGGGAAGTCTGTGCTGCCCAGCAAGCTGTTGCCAGCAGAGCTTTCCCCACTCTGGGTCCCACCAAAGAGGGCCAGGTTGATGATCATCTCAACACTGTTTGATATAATAAGCCCTTATCCAACACTCTGGGGAAATAGAGGCAGAGAACATGTGATGTCTGACCAGTATAACTAGGCCGAATGTCCAGTTAAAAGTGTTTAGCTACCCAACGAATTCCAAGTAGGCTTATTGGACTTGGCTACTCCCACCATTGAGGGCAGCCACCTTGGTGCACGGAGAAACTACAGATGGGAGGGAGGGGAGGAAACATGGTTCTCTACTTCACCTTCTACCCACCCCAACCAGAGTCTCAAGAGAAGTAATGGCACTTAGAAGATGGAGAGGTAAGTAGGCAATGGAGAACAAGAAAAATGCAGAATGAGAAAATAATACATTTTTCTTTGGGGAGGGCACCCAAAGAAATTGTTGGGAGAAATGTAACCCTTGTGTAGGTTAACTTATCTAGTTAGGGAATGAGTTTGGTCTGGGAGAGGGTGATGAAGTTCCAGAAATAATGAGAAACACAGTGGACAAGGGGGCTTAAGAATTCTCACTTCTGAAGATGAGTAGAGATAGAATAGCAAGAAAGACATCGATGCATTATTCCTCTCTTCTCTCTGCTGTTCCCACCCCTCCCCCATCCCAAAGGGAGAGAGCGTAAAGAGTGGAAAAAAGAAAGGAGGGGAGGGAAAGTGGGGGTAGGACTGAGGGACAGACACAGAGAGATATAGAGAGACAGAGAAACAGAGACCTTCCTTCCTTCCTCCTTCCTTCCTTCCTTCCTTCCTTCCTTCCTTTCTCTCTCTCTTTCTTTCTTTTTCTCTTTCTTTCTTTCTCTCTCTCTTTCTTTCTCTTTCTCTCTCTCCCCCTTTCTTTCTTTTTTCTTTTTCTCTTTCTTTCTCTCTTTCTTTCTTTCTTTCTTTCTTTCTTTCTTTCGATAACTGTGTGAATAATAGAGAAGGAATGAATACATTGGGAAATGAAAGTAACCTAAAACCAAAAGATATCAATAAAAATATTTTTTAAAAAAAGAATGGGGTCATCTCAGACTAACTTTATTCCCCCCCCCTTTTTATATAGTTCTGCTTGATTGGTAAAGAAAACCCCAAATGGGGTCATGAAGAGTTAGACACGACTGAAAAACGACTGAACAACAAAACTTGACTGGTAGATCAGTGATGCTATAGAAATATTTTACCTCAATCACAGCAAAGTCTGTGACAAAATCTGTCACGTGATCTTTGTAGATGAGAGAGAGAAAGAAGAAGGAGAAGGAGGGGGGAATGGGGTAGGGGGAGGAAGGGAGTGAGGGAGGGCAGTGAGGAAGGGAGAAAAAGAGGAAGAGGAGGGAGAGGGAGACCTAGGAAGAGGGAAAAGAGGTGGTAGAGGCAGGAAGAGGAAGAGACAGATACAGAGATAGTAAAATAGACAGAGAGAAAAAGAGAAGGGGAGGTAGAGAAAGAGGAAAAGGAGGGAGCTCAAAACTGCCGCGGCATCTGCAAAAATCATTCTTCTAACTTCCTGAATTTTTCCTTCTAAGAAACATGAATGTTTTAAAAGCAGCTTCTGGTTCTGTTTACTAAAGAACTTTGTAGTCAGGGAGCATTCTGATGAAAACACCCAAGACCATTCTTACTTATTTGCTGTTTCTACTCAGAAATAAGTTTAAGCAAAATATGAAATATATGAATATTCCAGGATTACAAAGTGTTTGGTTTTAAAATTAAAAAAAAAAGAAATCTCATTTTATTTTGTAGCTTTCAGTTAAACTGGAATCAGGAATTTAATTATTTTGTTTTAAAGTAGTAACTAGATTTTTGTCCCTTACAGCACCTATAAAGAGGAGGTGTTTTCGGTATTTATCTATCATCAGTCGGAATCTAGGATGATTCTATTTAACATATACTGTGAATGAACTGTAGCAAAAATTGCATGCAGGACATGGGTCTCTTTTTCTATTTTAGCAATTATCATGGTGCAGTACCTGCCTGTAGCAGGTTTTTAATAAACATTTGTTAATTGGCTCAGTATTAAACGGCAATGCTATACTACTGGTTTAAAGTATATCTTCTATTAATTCCAGAAATGATAAATTACTTGTGATTTTGCTCATAATTTTAAGATTCTATTATTCTCCAAGTGCATAGAACATTCCCTCTTCCCAGATTCTATTGATTCTACCTTCCTGCCACCTTTCCTCTAGTCCTGTTGTACCAGATTGGTTTGGCCATCATGGGAAGAATCAAACCAATCAATCCTAATGATTAGGCTCTAAAGCCAGAGCACCCAACAATAACTCCAGCATTGGGGTAGGTAGGGAAACAAATTTATTCTACTTTATCCCGATCTTACCATATATCTTTAAGCCCAAGTATTGAATGTGCCATGTTTTATCACATATCACTTACCTTTTCAGACTAGATATTCCTTCTCCACCTGGGCTGGGTTTCCCTCAAGTTTCAGGACTGCCCTTCAGCATGAACTTTGACTTTCTGATGAGGTTTCAGTACCACTCAGGAACTGACACTGAGATGTGTTTCTTGCTGGAGTTAATCTGTTACCAGAGCTTTTCAATTGATTGTGATTCTACTAATAAGTCCTAATATTCATAAACCACCTGGCAAACATGTCGTTTCAACATTTCGATAATAATTCAACTTGTTATTTTCAGGAGGATAGTCTTTGTGTTAGAATCTTGTTGCAGGTGATAATCTCTGTTATGAAAGAAAACCCAGGACTGGAGAAATAAAAGGAACTAAAAATATCCCAAGGGGTGAAAAATGGGTCAGTTATTAATTCTTCAAAAAATGATAAAAGCCAAAACAGCTGCAAAATTGTCTTGGAATCAACCTTTGAATCAGGAAGATCTGTGTTCAAATTCTGCCTTTTATACATACTAGCTGTATGGCCATGGGCAAGTCACTTAACTTCTAAGTGTCAAATTCAACTCTCTAAGATGATAAATTACTGGTAAATTGATCAGTGGAAGGAGTTTCTACACCAGGAATTCTTTATGCCAGTGAAATCACAGTTAAATCAACATGCATTTATTAAAACTTACTATGTGCTAGGCATATAGTACTACACATATAATTAGAAATAAAGATAGTTCTTGCTGTCTAATGGAGGAAGACAAGATATAAAAGGAAGCTGAAAAAGTGGGGGGGGATATGAAGGTACCCATAAGACCAGGGAACATTTTAGAGAAATTCCAGAGGGTCAGGAATGCAGCCTGGAGAGGAATGAAGGCAAGCCGAGGAGATGTCCTCCTTAAGAGGACTGAAAGGAATCAGTCAGTCAGAGGGAGGAGCCATAGGGCACTCCAATTTGAGAAGTCCAGGTGCTTGAGTGAACTTAGGGTAAAGGAGTCTCTGGAACATGGTAGAGAAATAAGTCTTGAGTCAGGAGGGGAATGAAAGTGTTACCGGTCCAGATCTCACTCTTCCCTAAATGATTTCTGTGTTATATAGGTTAAATTCATCACTTTATCCTAGGTTTTGAGAGTTTTAGTGTTTATATACTAATACATGTAATTTTCATTTTAATTAATATAAATACCCATGGATCTTGATTTAAGAATAAGGTCAAAGGAATTTGGGTAAAAATGCTTTTTAAAATTTTTCTCTTCCTCTTGAAAACTCTATGTCCCATTCCTATTTTTTCTTAAAGTGCTATGTAAATAATCTGCACTTTCTAACGTTATTTTTGTAGCTGTGTAATGTTAGTGGTATAACATGCAGGAAATGGAATATGGCTACATTTTAAATGATCTAGATGTCCTGCCCCCTCTTTTCCCCTCTCAGAAGAAATTCTATAAAGTGTGTATCACTATTTGCAGTGATCTTGGAGACATCTGGAATTTCTTATAACCTCATGGGCAGATTGAAGAAGTATTCTTCCTGTGTGGATATGACAAGGAAAATGAAAGCAATTCATTCCACTGACAAACACTCCTGGTCTTCTTGTACACAGAAGCAACCTCCCCCAGATGGCAGTATCTGCCCACTTCCTGGGTACTGGAAAAAAAAACACCAAAAAACATTTTTTTGCTACTTCTTTCCCCCCCAACCCTTGCCCAACCTTCCCCTCCACAATGTAAGTTGGTCCTCTTTAACAAAGCAGCTCACTGTCAAGCAAGCATGGCACTAGGGATTAATTGTACATGAATGGGATTAACCAAGTATTCCATACATTTGAAAAAACATGGACCAGAATTTTCCCCTGTACTTTAAGGCAAAGCATCTTCTAGCTCTAAAATTTTTATGATTTTGTGATCTTAAAAGTAGCTAGTTGATTCAGTGGATTGAGCACCGGACTTGGAGTCAGGAAGACCTGAGCTCAAATCCAGCCTCAGATTCTTAGTGGCTATCTGGTCCTGGGAAATCCATTTAACTTTGTTCTGCCTCAGTTTCTTCATCTGTAAAATGGAGCTAATACTAGCACCTCTCTCCCCGGATTGTTGTGAGGAAAAAATAAGATAATATTTGTAAAATGTTTTGCAGATATTAAAGAACTACATAAATGTTAGCTATTATTTTTGTTGCTATTATATAATACAAGTAAAAAAGTAACTTTCACTATCTTTATTATACAAATAAGATAGGACTTTGGTGGTTTTCAGTGGTTTTGAAAGAAGTGTCCCACATCTGAAACTTTCTGCTTACCTGAAAATGTCTTGTTTTTGCAAGAGCTAGAATTTCAGCACCCCTGTGGCATTTTCTAATGGAGAAGTACATCAAGGATTTTGAATCAGCTTGTGATATGTTTAAAGGAATGCTTCATAACTGACATCAACCCACAAATCATTAAAGAAGAATCTGAATACTTGCTGCCAGAGTTGGAAAGGATCTCAGAGGCCATATGACATCCAACCACCTCATTTGAAAGTTGAAAGATCCTAGGTCCAAGGAAGTTGTGACTCACCCAAGGTCACCCAGATAATAAGCAGTAGAGACAGAATTTGAACCAAGGTCTTCCAACTCCAGAACCAGGATTCTTTCCACTGTAGTAATATAGCACTTACTATGTTCCAGGCAATGTGTTAAACACTTTACAATTATCTCATTTGATCCTCACAACAACCATAAGAGGTAGGTGTTATTATTATCGTCCCCATTTTATAGATGAGGAAACAGATTAAGGATCTCATAGCTACTAAGTGTCTGAGGCCAAATTTTAACTCTGATCTTCCTGATTCCAAGACTAGTGCTCTGTATGCTATGGCACTACCCAGATGCATGCATTGGGTAACACATAATGTCTGGGCTTCGTCACTCTAAGCAAGTCACTTAATTTCTCTTAGCCTTACTTTCATCATTACCTGTGAAATATGGGGAATGGACTCAACACCTTTCATGATATCTTCAAGCTCCAAAATCTATTAGCCTGTTATTCAAATCCAGTTGTTAAGTTTGGGAATTGGTGTAGAAAAGCAATTCGTGAAGTCAAGCACATTGTGTCATCAAACACACTCCATTCATTCAACTAAAAGTTTTATTTTAAGTTGTGGAAGGAAATTTGCAGTTCCATCTGTTTTGTTTGTAAAATGAAAGCAGGCTAAGCAGACTCAGTTTCCAGAAATTTGCATTTACGGCACTCTGGCAGTTATACCCAGGCTATCATCCATTGTGTCGATGGCAAACAACCGGAAAGCAAACCGACGCTGAGGTCACCCTGCCAATTTTGAAGAACTAGATTCCAATTGCAAACGCAGCAGAGCAACCAACAGTTTGATCCCTAATGGCTACCTCACAACAGGGAAATTTACAATGAGAGAAACTGGGTAATGAAAAGTTCATTTTTGAATCAGGGTCTTAAAAAGCCATCAAGACTCAACAAAAGTCCAAAGTTTTGTCCAAACCCCTACTTCTCCCCTCCCACTCCCAGTAATTTCTTCATTGATGCCTTTTGTTTTTAAAATCACATTTTTGTCTGAATATATTCCTTTCCTGTAATCCATCCCACCTAGCAAGGTCTCCTTTATAACAGAGATTTACAAAGAAAAAGAATTAGCAAAACCAACCAACATATTGACCACATCTGAGAGCATATAAAAAGATTCCATACCCATAGTCCCCCACTTCTGCAATGAGGGGAGGGAGGTACATTTTCTCAACTTTTTTTTTTCTGGCGCCAAGCTTGGTCATTATAATCACACAGCCTTCAGTTTTGTTTTATTGTTCTTTCCATTTATATTGAAGTAGTCATTGCTACATTTATATTGTGGTTTTTTCTTTGGTTTTGTTCAACTTAATGGTCTTCAATTTTTTTATTTTACTTTTAGTGATGTCTTTTGTTTTTATATCGCATTCATTTCCAAACAATTCCTCTACCCTCCCGCGAGCCACTCCCTTATAGCAAAGATTAAACAAGATAAAATTTAAAAAGCAGCCCAGGAAAACGAGCCAATATATCCATTGTCCCTGATAGTATATACAGTATTTCTCATGCGCAGCCCTCTCCAGGCCCCCCCCCCCCCACATTTCTTCAATGACAGGAGAGAAGTACAATTTCCCAACTCTTCCCTGGGGCTGTTCACGGTCATTATAATTACATTACACTTAGTTTTGCTTTATTGTTCTTTCCTTTTAAATTGTTGTAACCATGTCTACTTAATTTAATGTTTTTAATAAAAGCATAAAATAAGTAAACATGATAGCAATAATAACACAAGTAAATTAAGAAATATTATTATTGTAAATGTGGTAGATTAACATTGTTGTTCAGTCATTTCAGTTGTGTCTGACTCTTCATGGGTTTTCTTGGCAGAGATGCTTCAGTGATTTGCCACTTCCTCCTCTCTCCAACTCATTTTACAGATGAGGAACTGAGGCAAACAAGATTAAGTGACTTGCCCAGGGTCACACAGCTAGGAAGTGTCTGATGCCAGATTTGAATTCAGGAAGATGAGTATTCCTGACTGCAGACCTGGAATCCTATCCATTGTGCCACCTAGTAGATTATTACTGCATCATATTAAATAAAATTCTGTAAGATCAATTGCTGTATTGTTTTGTATGATTTAGATACACTTTAAAAAGCCTTTACCATACATCAGTTATTGTTGAGTAAATACATTAATTCTATAAAAAGTTGCCCATAGGCACTCATGTATGAGCTTGGCCTCTTGCTATAATATTGTTTCTAGGGGAAAATCAGACTCAATCTGCATCATGCCAAATGACAACACTGTGCTTTTTCTGGGAACAAATCTTCTATAAGGATGAAAGTAGGGATTGATTCATTTTTTGCATTTGTATCCCCAGTACTTAGCATAGTGCATGGTACATAGTTGGCACATAAGAAACACTTTTTGACTGATTGATTGACAGCTGTCTGTGGTAGGGACATTAATACTTAACTATTTCCTCATGGTAGAACTATTACTTTCTTACATGCAAGAAAATTGTTGGGGTTTTACTTTATTTCTCCCTAGGGGGAAAAAACCCCCAAACTTTCTTTCCCTATTGTTTTTCCTCTTGAACTTGAGTGATTTCACCCATTTACTTCACATTCTAATTGCCTACTAGAAAAGCAACTCTATTATGATAGCGAAATTTGTATACATTATAGCATTGATTTTCATATGATTATGTTACATTAATTATTAACTATTTTAGTTGATTATTGGTTAACTTTTGAAACTGTAGGTATATACACTATACAATGAGGATGTTGTTTTTAAAAGTACATTTGCAGAAAACTTTGGCTAATCTAGAATTTCTATTTTGATAATTTTTTTCTTGGTGACATATTAAATGCTATTGAGGGTGATTTCCCACCAGCTTTTACTCTTTGGACTGGACTCCATCATGTTCCTAGGAAACTTCATCATCAGGAAATTCTTCACCTTGGGAGACTGCATCAGCTTTGGTACTCACAAGTCATCAGTACCCTCAGGACCCTCTGCCCTGTGATTGAGACCCCAGCGTCAGGTGAATTTACAAGCAAAGTCTCTCAAACATTCAAAGAACAACTAATTGCCATATTACCTAATCTATATGCAAAAACAGGAAAAAAAAGATCCTACCAAATTTCTTTCATGGTATTTAAACTATGATCAGGTTGTATTTACACTAGGCATGCAGGGTTCATAATACTTAAAAAGAAAACTAAATTTCTAAGTACTTACTAGGCAAACTACAAGCACAACAGAATATACCAATGACAAAAACAATAAAAATGACATGAATGTATCAATAGATGCAGAAGATACTTTTGAGAAAATTCAACAGTCGTTTCTGCTTAAGCCCCACCCCCTACTAAATTCATAGGAATTTATGTACCTTTCCTCAATATAGTAAATAGTTCCTATTCAAAACCAAGAACCAGTGTTATAGCTAATGAAGATAAGCTACAGGCCATTCCAATCAAATCAGAGGTAATGCAAAGATAGCCATTATTATCACTACTATTTGCTACAGTCCTAGAAATGTTAGCTTCTACAAAGAAAAAGAAATTGAATAAATAAGCATAGGCAAATTTCTGTTGTTATCCAGTCGTGTCTGACTCTCTATGACTCATCTGGGATTTTCTTGGCAAAGATACTGGAGTGATTTACCAGTTCCTTCTCCAGCCTATTTTACAGATGAGTAACTGAGGCAAAGTTTAGAGACTTCCTCAGGGTCACTAGTTAGTAAGAATCTGAGGCCATATTTGAAGTCGGGTCTTCCTGACTCCAGGCCCATCCACTGAGCCCCCTAACTGCCATGTATGAAACAAAATTGTCACTTTTGCAGTTGAGTTAATGGTTTGGTTAGAGAACCCTAATAAGTCAGGTAAAAAAAAATTAATTGAAATAATAACTTCAGCAGTGTTGCAGGATATAAAATAAAATCCACATAAATCATCAGGATTTCTGTAAATATTCCCAGGAAACCAAGCAGGAAGAACTTGAAAGAAAAGGTCTATTCAAAATATCTACAGAATTTATAAAACATTTGAGAGTCTACCTATGTAAACAAACACATATTAAGTACATGAATACACCTACAAAATACTATGTAGAGAAAAAATATGACTACAAAATACTCTAGAGAAATAGAGCTAAACAATCATATACATATTAATTGCTCATAGGTAGGCCAACCTCATACAATAAAAATAGTTACTGTCTAAATTAATATACTTGTTCAGTGCTATACCAAACTTATAGAGCTAGAAACGTAAAAATAATTCATCTGGAGGGGAAAAAATGAAAATAATGAAAAATGTGGGAAGAAAGAGTATCTAGTAGAGTCAGATTTCAAACTATATTAAAAAGCAGTATTATAAAGACAATTTGGTGCTGATTTTTTAAAAAAAACAGTTGATCAGTGGAATAAATTAGATACACAACAGAGAAGAAGGTCACCTTATGTTTGATAAACTTAAAGATTCCAGTTACTGGGAAAAGCACTCATTATTTGACAAAAATTGCTGGAAAAACTGGAAAAAAGCAATCTGGCAGAAATGAAGCATAGACCAATACCTCACACCATATCCTAAGATAAGGTCCAAGTGACTATGCTACTTGACACAAAAGGTCATGTCACTACAATTTGAGGAGCAAGAAAGAAAATATCTTTCTTGACAATGAGTAGAGGAAGAGCTCATTATTATTACTTCCATTCTTTGCTCTTACAAAATATACAGCTATAAATATTTTGGTGTATATGAGGCCTTCCTTTCTGTGTTTGACCTCTTAGCGGTACACAGTATGACTTATTCTTGTTTAAACTATTTTCATAACAGAAAGCAGCAGAAAGAGTATTAGCTTTAGAATGTGGGGATTGGAGTTCAGATTCTGGTGCTGTCATTTCCTGTTACCTTCTTGTCAAGTCACTTAATCATTTTAGGTCTTAGAGTGTTGTCCTACGTAGCAACTAAGCTCCCTCCTTGCTCTAAATCTGTTATCTTGAGACTTTTAGAACCACTGTTTCCTTTTCTATATTTTCACAAACCATCCCTTTAATAGAATTTCCTAGGAATTGAAGTCTGATTAACTGTGCCCTATAATTTCAGACTCAACTTTCATCTCTCTCTCTTTTTTTTTTTGAAAAAACAAGGCACCATTTGTCCTACTCCAGAACAAAAGATTGCTTTACGTAAAAGAGCTTTTGAAACTGAAATATAAACAAAGAGATAATTCATAAATTTGTTTATTTTTCTACCCCATGCATATTAATCCCAACATGTGTGCCTATGTATACAACTGTTGATGTTCACACAGAATCAAATTACTATAGAAAGTCATTTCTAGAGTGACCAGATTTAGAAAGGGAGTTGGTAGAAATATAAATTTAAAGTTCCCTTTGGATAACTTAACTAGGTTTAGAAAGAGGGGCAAGAGAGAATTCTGGCCCTGAGCAGAGGGCCTGGGAGGAGGAACAAATTCTTAAACTTTTAGCTCATTTGCTTGTAATTTCCCAAGAACTTCTGAAATACTCTGCTTTGTAACTCTATGCTTTTAGCCTATAGAAAATGAAATTTTATGCAAAAAAAATCTCAAAATGACTCAGTTTCTAGGTTTACTTTATAAATTAAGAAGTCCAGAGGCAGGGTAGAGGGCAGATCAACTGACGCGTCTTGTAAGATTTACTTGCAAAGGGAAAGGAACACTCAAGCTACAGGGCTGGAGGTTCATAA